AGTAAATATTCAGACCATTCACCATTTTCCCACAAACGATATAAACTCAACCCAGTAACCTCTTTACGTGAGATTTCAATATGTAGAGTGACAGGCACCCTTATATCCACGAGGGGAATCAATTTATACAGATTTAAATGGCTTCAGCTTTGACTTGACTTAATAATAAATTACTGTCAATCCTCTGCAAATACTAAATACTCACTCCCTGTTAGGATTGTATAATCCTAAAATTTTAACAAAGCTTCAGAGGGTCTACCCAACAGAGCTTTTTACTGGAAGCTACCAGGGTCTTTTAGGGCACCTTCAAAGGGAAACGTAAAGCCTCCTGGTATATCCAGCACAAGAAAGAGATCCTAGTGTTCTGTGAAACTGAAGCAAACACTTGTTGGGGTTTCAACACAGATTATGAAGAAGGAAAGAAATCCTTTGGGAAGTCTCTTTGGTATTCAGCGGCAAAGGCTTCCAGATTCTCCAGGCAGTGCAGAGGAGGACGCCAACCCATCAGTGTCCATCCGGCTTAGCCGGCTGACTATCCTTGAAGCATTGTTAACTCCTGCCTCACTCCAGGCCTCCACAAGGTAAATGAGGGGTAAGAGGACAGGAAACACTCCGTCCTGTGCACAGTGTTGGACTCTGGCTATGCTGTCCAAGCATTTTTTCATTTGGGAGTAAAGAGAAAAAAAAAAGAATTTCAATTCTGTCCTGACTTCATCATCACTTGTGGCATAGCACAGTTTTGAGCTTATATAAGAAAGTGAAAAAATAAAATAAGTCACAGGTATACACATACTTGCAATTTTAAGTTACACCTTAATAATTCTGGATATTGAATGTTATCTGTGCTTTTTAAAAACCTTGCAGAAAGGCACCTGGAGAAATTGTTGTGGTTTGGTTCAGCGAGTTCTATAATAATTTTTTCATTCCATCAATTGAGAAGCTATTGAGTGGCTATTATTACCAAGAACCTGGGGCCTAAGGGTCCTTTCAGAGTTTCAGTAGCTCCATAATAGTTGCATTAACTTTAAGCACTAGGTGCAATGCATCAAAAAGAATAGATCCTAAGTTTTTTTTGTTGTCTTTTTAAATTCTGAATCTGCCAACATTGAAAAGTGACGGTATCTACTAGTTTCTCACTGCCCTGGCTCTATTTCTTCTCAGTGAGTCAATCTACCCACCCTGCAACCTGTGATAAATATGCTGTTGGAGGCTGGGTGCAGTGGCCCACTTTTGTAATCCCAGCATTTTGGGAAGCTGAGGTGAGTGATCACTTGAGGCCAGGAGTTCAAGACCAGCCTGGCCAACATGGTGAAACCCCATCTCTATGAAAACTACAAAAATTAACAAGGTGTGCTGGCACACATCTGTAATCCCAGCTACTAGGAGGCTGAGGCACGAGAATCGCTTGAACACAGGAGGTGAAGGCTGAAGTGAACCAAGACTGCACCACTACACTCCAGCCTGGGTGACAGAGTGAGACCTTGTCTCAAAAAAAAAAAAAAAGAAAGAAAAAGAAAAAAAAAATGCTGTTGGATAAGGAAACTGAGTTTCTCTCGGAAAAATTATTTATTCTCTAAGAAGCCACATAGTAAATGTTTTAGGCTTGCAGGCCATACTGTAGCAAATACACTCCCAGTAGCCTGGGAGCTCATAGACCGCAGGTAAATGAATGAAGCTCACGCCTTTAATCTCAGCACTTTGGGTGGATCACTTAAGGTGAGGAGTTCAAGACCAGCCTAACCAATATAGTGAAACCCATCTTTACTAAAATATATAAAAACTAGCTGGACGTGGTGGTGTGCACCTGTAATCCCAACTACTCACGAGGCTGACAAATGAGAATTGCAAGGGTTGCAGTGAGCCGAAACTGGGCCACTATACTCCAGCCTGGGTGACACAGCAAAACTCCACCTCAAAAAATAAATAAATAAAATAAAAACACTTTATTCGTGGACACTGAAACAAATTTGAATTTCGTAAATGAAATTTCATATATTAAAAAATGTTATTTTGATATTTTATTGGTAACCATTTAAAAATGTAAAACTATTCTTATTTTGTAGGCTCTAAAAATAAGTCTGTGAGACCAGTCTGGCCTCCAGGCCACTTCCCTGCTCTAAGTGAAACCCTGCTTCTTGCTTGCCCAAACTGAAACATAATCCCAGTTTTGAAGCTGGCACACCAAACCAAGTTACTAAAATGGCACTGCTATTACAATTTTAGAGCAGCTTTAACCCAAAGGAGCCTTGCATCTCCGAGCTATACTAACAAAATAGCCAATTTTTTTTTCTATTTTTAAGACAGAGTCTTACTCTGTCCCCCAGGGTGGAGTGCAGTGGCGTGATCTCAGCTCACTGAAACCTCCGTCCCTGGGGTTCAAGCAATTCCCTGCCTCAGCCTCCCGAGCAGCTGGGATTACAGGTGCCCGCACCATGCCCAGCTAATTTTCATATTTTTAGTAAAGATGGGGTATCATCATCTTGGCCAGGCTGGTCTTGAACTTCTGACCTCATGATCCACCCACCTCGGCCTTCCAAAGTGATGGCTTACAGGTGTGAGCCACTGTGCCTGGCCCAAAATAGAAACTTTTAATGAATAAACATTTCCCAAGATCTTTTAACCACAGAATTCTCCATCATAACTCCTTAATAAAATAACCAGAAGGAAAACTTGCACTAAATATGGTTCAATCAAATCCAAAACCCTACTTTTATGCAACGCCAAAAGAACCAGATGTGGCTAACTAGGGAACTCACACACCCAAATGAACACTTAGAAAACCCTGTATAAAACTATTAATCTGAAGAAGGAAAAACAGTTACAGTTACTTCACAAGCAATGAAGTTATAAGGCAAACCCAGGGTCCCGGAATATCAAGTGGAAAACAAATGATCGACTCAGCCACAGTGCAGAATGGACAGTTCCCTACTTTATCTCATGGTGGTTTCTACACACCTTTCTTCTGTTCATTGTAATCTTCATTCATGGATGATTCTTTTCATATTATGAATGTATTCATGTCAAACTAATGTCTGGATTCATTATTGTAAGGAAAAGGTCCCTCCCCCAAATATTCAGAAAACACCATGTTAAGTCTTCACTCTAAAGGAATTATCTGCTAAATTGTTAGTGAAGGGGTTCATGCACTCACATACATAGAATATAAATACACTTTCTGAAATAAATATATCTGAAACCAGTATCAGTTTTCATTAGAACCTAGCAGATCCAGCTTTAAAAAGGCACACAATTAGAAAGTATCCTCTGCTGGGAGATACTGAGGCTATGTCTACAGCTGCAATTCCGCCTCCATACAAACCACAGTGTTTAAATAGTGTTTCAATTTTTAAAATAAGTTCAATTCTTTTATGAGCACTGAAAACATACCAAGTTGCTGAAGTAGAGGTAATCATGATAAGCGTTATCATAATTACCAATAGCTAAGAGACTCAACCATAATTCCACATTAATGGAGATAAACCTCTTTTTCTCCCATCCAGGACCTTATTTCTATCAACTGCCTAAACATGTTAAAAATGACATTTCTAATTCATTGTCTACACCACTGTTCCATATGTGACATTCTGATAACTATACAGTTAACAGTACCGTACTTTGAGTTGTCTCCATAAGAATGAACTAGTTTAAGTAAATAATCCATAGGAATAAATGTGGTTTTGCAATTTAAGTTTACGTACATTCCTAACAGTATCATACAGTCATCAATTATATTGATATTACACCTAAAAAACTCCAATGGCTGGAGGCTTTCAAAAAAATTTACAGAAATTTAGGATTCCTTTAAAAATAGGGGGAAAAAAAGCCCAATATAAATATTACAAACTAAAAACTAAATGCTACTTTTCTAAATAAATTGCTCTATCTCCTTCTTAGACAATTCTCTACCCTCATTAAAACACATGAAATCAACCTGGGTGTAAATTCTCTGAACACCTGGCATAATAAAAAAATATATAGGAAAATAAGAAATGTATGAAAATGATGAGACACAAGATGATATGGAAAATAGTGCTCTCCAGAAAAGCAAAATGCACTATAAATGCTAGCTATGACAAGCCAACACTCTGGCAGAGTTCGAAAGCCTCTTTTCAATGAAAGTAACGTTACTGCAAACTATGCTATGGTCAAACACAAAATATCTCACTTAGTTCTACAGTTAACCTGTACACGTTTAAGTGGCACAGAGTGAGCTAATGAAAAGCCCACCTACCCGGTCACAGCGCATCGCTCACGATGCATAACTACAACTCCCTCCCGCCCCGTTCCGTTTTAAAGACCCTTCCTGTAAAACTTGCATCATCTTCTTCCTTATCACACACAACCTTTCCAGCCCGCTGACTAAATCCAAGTTTAAAGGAGATATCTGTTAGGTAGGAGGGGAAGGTTCCGTAGGATGGGAGCGACGACCTGTCAAACCCATTTTTTAAGTGCTTTAAGGGGAAATGTCACCCGAATCAGCCGAGACAGTTCAATGGCTCGCGATGTACGGTTACATTTCTTTATGATCCTTTGTATGTTCTGGGATTCAACGAGACAAAAAGAGGAGCTGGCTTTTCGTTTCTCGGGGATAATGGATCTGCCTAGGTCTCTTCTGTCCCAGGCCTCGGTGCCAAGCGGGCACCCCCTGCCACGCTCAGGCCCCAAAGTTCCCCAGTCCCGCCGCCGGGAGCCCGCAGTCACCGCCCGGTACCCAGAAACAATGCGGGGCTCCGGGGCGCTCACGCTCGGGCCCGGGAGGGGGAAGGGGAGGCCATGCCCCGCCTGCGCCGCGGAACAAAAGGCGCTCGCGGGGCCAGGGCCGGGTGCCCGGGACTCGCGGGGCCGACGCCCGGCGGGGAAGGCGCGGGGAAAACTTTCCGAGGGGCCGAGGCGGAGGGGCGAGGGCCGGGCCGCCCCCTCGCGGAGCCACCCCGCACAATAGCCAGGCCCAGCGCGGGAAGGCCGGGCCGCCACGCCCCCGCCCCGGCCCCGGCCAGTACCTGGTGGTTCTCCTTCCCGCCGCCCGCGGCCGCCGCCGGCCCACCCGGGCCGCTCGTCATGTTCACGTACAGGGAGCGGGTGAGCGGGCTCCGCAGCGTCCACATCCTCCGCGCCAGCCACACGGACGCCAGGCTCAGGCACAGCCAGCCCACCAGCAGTCTCATCGGGAGGCGCGGCCGCTCGCTCCGATCACCGCCGGCGCCGAGGCGAGGAGGAGCAGGCGCCGCCGCCCCCGGCCACCGCCGCCACCGCCCGGGCTCGAGCCATCGTACCCGACTTGCCCATCCAGCCCTCTTCAGGGCCGAAGCTGGGGGTGGGGAGGAGCAGCCGGCGCGCAGCCTCGGCGCCTCCCCCTTCCCTTCCGGCCGCGGAACGCCGCTGCGGCCTGCACCCGTTTCCATCCGGAGCACTTACGAGCGGCCGCGGCGCGCTCTCCCCCGGCGCGCTCCCTCCGTCCAATGAGCGGGCTGTTGGGAGGCGGGACAAAGGGTGTGCGAATCCGTCCGGAGCGCGTCTGGGTATTCCGGCCCTGCTTCGGCCTCTGGTAATGGCGGAGGTGCTTTTAATTTTTTTGAGGTCTGGGGAGATCATTTTCGAAGGCTGTAACTGCAGCCTCCCTGTCCCTCCAAGGTGGTGCCCAAAGGACTTCTAGTATTTCCTCGCCTTAGTCGTTAACTCTCGACCCTCATCCCACTCCGTGGCGGGACTCAACCGGGTCGAGCAGTTGACCCCCGGGGCGCAAAGCGGAGTCTTACTCCTTTTCGTGCGTGGATACACGCAGGGTCTTCCCGGATATGAACGATGCTTGTGCTGGTTAGCCGCTCGGATGCGTAGTTTCCAATTTACATTTAGAACTGACCAGCCAGACCCCCTCTTCTCTCCCCTCCCCTGCACCACACTACTTGCCTAACCAGTTCCTCAAACCTGAGAAGTTGTTGGCTCTGCCTTTTGGGCAAACTACTGCAGCTGGGGTACAAGTAATGTTTTAGATGTATTGATGGCCCTGCGAAAGAATGAAGACCCCAAGTTAGACTCCCTGGCTGCCTTGCTTCCTTGAACTAACGCAGGCAAGTTGGACCCAACATTCTTGGAGTGAACACAGCTCTGGGAGCAGTGTTTAACCCGGATGTTTATTTGATCATTTATAGCACAAGGAGACCTAGCAGCATTTCAGAACTGAAGGGTTACACTGTGTTCCTGTGTCTGCAGTTCTTCCTGCTAACACCTAAGCCACAATTAAGGAGTAGCGTGTTTCGTAGGGGTCTCTAATACCTTCCTATGTGTTTGGAAAGTGCTTTTAACTGCACCAGAAATAATGTAAATGTGTCTTATTTCAGTTCAAAACAAAAGAAGTAAACCTTTTGGTTAATTCCATGTCGCATATCAGAGATTTTCATTTATGAAACAGTGGGGTGAGGAACAAAATCATTCCTTACCCAACATCTCTTTTTATTAGCTTCTAAGAATCTCAGCTTGGCACCTTTGGCTAACAAAGATATCTTGTTGCCTAATGTAACAGGCTGTAACAACAACGTGGCGGGGCAGTATTTGGTGTACCCTCCCTGACTGCTTCCTGCCAAAACCTCAAAAAGCCCAAGCCTTACTAAACCTAGTTCAAACCTCTAGTGGTCCTGGCCCAAATCATCGAAAAGGAACTATGGTAATAAGTCCAATAACTGTTTGTTCACTATGTCACCTCTCCTTCTGTCTCTTAGGATCAGTGTAACAGACAAAGCACCTCTGTCACAAAAAGAAGCCTTCATCTTTTTAAAGAGGGGGTGAAAGCAGCAGGAGTCCATAAAATGACATATTTCCTTTCTGAAGAAAAAGGAGACAAAAGGTATGCCCCAGCTATAGAGTCAGCCAGTAGAGCTGTAGTTCAGAGACTGCAAAACGTTGTCAGATGGACAAGATGCAAGTAGACGGCTGCTGTAGTCAGAAGGATTTGGGGTCGGTTGACTGCCACCAAGCTTAACATCTCAAAGGAGCAGACTTTGCTTTATATCTGAGCAACTGGCCTAGAAAAATAAATCACCCATACATTTAAAATATAATAAGCACAAAACACTCAAATCCATGCTGTTTACATTTAGCAGGCACAGGAAGAAACCAGAGCACCCAATGATTAAATGACTTGCCTAAAGGCAGCAGAGCAAATTCAGTAGCTGACCTTTTCATAGAATTTGGTATCCCAGCTCACGGTCCTTCGATCCATCTAAGAAGCTTTGCTGTCTCTTCTCAGAGAGCCTCCTGAATTACAAATGAGGAGGAAGGAAAACAGCAAGAGTAAATATATGAAGCAGAAGTTCAGATTGCTCATTGTGGACTGCCCCCTTCCTTCATCTACTAGAATGTCACTACCCTATATTACAACCTCAATCATCCACAATGTAGAAGGGAAGAGGCAAGATAACACAAAAAGCCAAATATGAGCCAATATTAATTCTAATGTGATCTTGAGATACAGTCAGTGATGTTCAAAAGACACACAAATGACCCTCTGCACCAAACTCTGCTCATTGACCCCAGGTGTCCCACTTGGATCACAGCCCTGCACACGGGCCCAAAATTTTGAAGGGTCATTTTCCTATCTAGATCTAGGCAAAAGCTGTTTGTTATTGTCCTTCTTCAGAGCTACAAAGTCTGGTGTTTTTATGTTCTCTTTTCAATTACAAAGTATGTTAAGAGAATCTACAAGTAGAGAGCTTGGATCTGTAGAGGATACAAAACATATTGATGATTGTTTCTCCTTGAAGAGATAGTGATTTAAAAAGAACTCATGTAGGCCAAGTGGGGTGGCTCATGCCTGTAATCCCAGCACTTTGGGAAGCCAAGGCAGGTGGATAGCTTGAGACCAGGAGTTCAAGGCCAGCCTGGGAAACATGGTGAAACTGACTCTACAAAAAATACAAAAATTTGTGGTGACATGCACCTGTAGACCCATCTACTTGGGAGGCTGAGGTGGGAGGATCACCTGAGCCCAGGAGGCCAAGGTTGCAGTGAACTGAGATTGTGCCACTGCACACCAACCTGGGTAACCCTGTATCAAAAAAATAATAAAAATAACTAATATAGTCACATTTTTATGGACAGATATTTTTTATGCTTCTTAATATTGTTTTGTACACCTTCAGAGAAAGATGTATGTTTTTCCCAGTATATTCAATAGAATGTGCCCTGTAGTTATTAAGCAATGAGCACGTCTAACAAAATTAGCAAATGTACTCAACAATGTTTTTTAATTAATTAATGTAGGAGATTTTTAGCAGAATTTAATTGATATAACTTCAATCTTATGCAACGATATCACTGTGGACTCCAGCTGATAAATTCTAAGTCAAGGCAAAACTGCAGACAGGTTATTAAAAAAAAGCAGTGTAGGCCAGGCACAGTGGTTCATGCCTGTATTCCCAACTGCTCAGGAGGCTGGCGCAGGAGAATCGTTTGAACCCAGGAGGCGAAGGCTGCAGTGAGCCGAGATTGTGCCACTGTACTCCATCCTGGGTGACACAGTGAGACTCCATTTCAAAAAAGAAAAAAGCAACTTAAAGTAGCATAATTGAACCAAGAGTTAGAAGACGTTAGTAGCAAATACAAATAACACAGTGTGCTTCATTGGAGAACTCCCAGTGCTACTCATTAGCATAGTAGTTTAGCTGCACTTTGAGCCAGACTATCTGGGTTTTAAGCCGGGCTCTATGCTTCTTGATTATGCAATTTGAGACAAATTCTTTGACTTCTACATGTAAAATGGAAATAATAATAATGGTTACCTATTTCATGGGGATGTGGTGAATATCATATTATGTACTCTAAATATAAAGGGCTTAATAAGTGCCTCAACATATAGTAAACACTCAAAAAATGTTAAATTGTTTTTACTTTAACTTGGGTAAATTAGCCTCATCTGAGCCTCTCTTTCTTCATCTGTGAACCACGAGCCATTGTTCTGAGCTGTCTGCTTCACAAGACATCTGTGAGAATTAGATGATCTGAGAGTTTTTTAGACTCTAAAACATCAACCAAAGTTATCATAATAAAGATGCTCAGTCCTAATGTAAAATGCCCATGTGAGGGATCTAGGTTGCCATCCTATAAGAATCTTATGCCTGTCAGATGATACTTAGTCTACGGAGGATCAAAAAAAAAGAAAAAGAATTAAAAAATAAAAAAAAACAAGAGGATCTTATGCCTGATTATCTGCCAGAGACTTTGGTCTCTGCAAAGCTACTCTCCATAAAACATTCTCTTAGAACTTGGCCAGGTGCAGTGGCTCACACCTGTAATCCTAACACTTTAGGAGGCCGAGGCAGGCAGATCACGACGTCAAGAGATAAGACCATCCCGGCCAACATGGTGAAGCTCTCTCTACTAAAAATACAAAAATTAGCTGGACATGGTGGTGCACACCTGTAGTCCCAGCTACTTGGGAGGCTAAGGCAGGAGAATTGTTTGAACCCGAGAGGCAGAGGTTGCAGTGAGCCAAGATCACACCATGCATTCCAGCCTGGCGACAGAGTGAGACTCCATCTCCAAAAAAAAAAAAAAAAAATTCTCTTCGAACTCATGAAGATAGCTTCTCTTAATAATGTGTCTATCTTCACACATGTATCTATCTTCATGACATTTAAAATTAATGGAGTGAGGAAAAGAATATAAAACACAAAATTTGAGGCCAGGAATTCAAGACCACCCTAAACAACATGTTGAAACCCCATCTCAAAAAAAAAAAAAATACAAAAACTAGCTGGGTGTGGTTGTGTAGGTACTTGGGAGGCATGAGAGTCACTTGAACCCAGGAGGCAGAGGTTGCAATGAGCTGAGATCATACCACTGCACTCCAGCCTGGGCGATAGAGCAAAAGTCTGTCTCCAAAAACAGCAAAATAAACAAACACACAACTATAAAACATTCAAACCTAAAAACACAAAATCAGCCAGGCATGGTGGCTCTCATCTGTAATCCTAGCACTTTGGGAGGCCAAGGCAGGCAAATGGCTTGAGCCCCGGAGTTCTATACCTGCCTGGGCAACATGAAAAAACCCAAATCCTGTCTACACACACACAAAAAAAAAACCTACAAAAATTAGTCAGGTGAGGTGGCATGTGCCTGTAGACCCAGCTACTCAGAAGGTTGAGGCAAGAGGATCAAGTGAGCCTGGGAGATGGAGGCTGCAGTGAGCCAAGATTGCACCACTGCACTCCAGCCTGGATGACAGAATAAGACCATGTCTCAAAAAATAAAATAAAAATCAGGCAGTAAACTCAAGTTACCTAGTTGTCAAAGATGCCTCTTGTTTTAGTAGGAAAGTCTTTTCCCCTCTGATATATAAAATTCTTTCCAGCTGGCTCACCTATCTACCCAGTCTGTACTGGTCAGGGCATTTCACCTGCTTACAGAACCTTCTGAACTCCCATGATTTTCTCCCTCATCAGTCTCACACA